GCTGATGATAGAAGAGTACTTTTGAAGAGTAGGTAGACTGGCAATGGGCATGAGACACTTCTGGGGTGCTGGAAATGATTGTTTAGCTGTACACTTGATCCATTTTATGCACTGTGCCATAGATATGTTATCCCTCAAAAGAAAAAGACTGACCTCCTTGAGAAAAAATTTTGTCTAATTCATCTCTATATCATTTCCATCACCAAACACGGTGCTTTACACATTAGACATTAAAAAATATGAGAGATTCAATTACATGAATACTCCAGTGTCTGCAAGGGTAAGGTGCCAAGGAAGTGCACGGAGGGAGAAGTGAGGTTCAACCTGCTACATACAGCAGAGAGAAGCAGCAAAATCAGACATAAGATACAATCTTAATAACGGTACAATTTCTACCTAATTCAGTTAACAACCCAGGAGATAGGGTAAAGTATTTTACAAGCTTGATAGTCTTGCCATCACCGATTTTCCTGCCAGGTTAAGTACCTTCCCCTTTAAAAACCAGATCTTTGTCCCTGTTTTTATCACCACTCATGTCAATTTCCCCCTTGACTCTCTAATAACAGCCACCATTTATTCAGCACCGACTATGCCAGGGATTACGCTAAGGATGAACAAGACAAAGATGAATGACACAAACCTGAAATGACCACAGTTCAGGAAGGAGTCCTCCAATAGGGGCGTGTGCAAAGCCGCACCTCAGCTCGGGAGGCAGGACCAAGTTTCACAGGAGAAGCCCAGACTGAAAGCTACATGTTGTGGTTGAAGAACACAGGTAGGTAACATGTGAAAGGCATGCAGGCCCAGTGGCCTGAGAAGGTTTTCTCAAGGAATGACCACTATGTAATAATAGGGGATAAGGGGGAATGAGGTGTTATTTTTAACGGGAGCATGTGGAAAAGAGATTCTTGTTGGGAGAAAATAATAATGGCCTACACTAAGGACCAGGCAGCAATGGAGGGACAAATGGAAGAGATTTTTGAGAGGCGGACTCAAAAGGACTTGATGACTAGGTATGAATGTGAAGTTTCTTTTAAATGGCTTAGGTGGCAGAGTAAATGGTAATGCCATTAATGAAAGTACAAACCAGTTATAAAGGCATTTACATCACATGAGAGAAAGCTGAAATTGTGGGCACTGATAGGGTCACCCTGGGGAAAACATAGCACCAACTGAGGGCCAGAGTTGAGACTCTGGGGAAAAAATCGACCTCGAAGAAGAATCTTGTCTATCACAGAAACCCTGGAGTATCCAAGGAAGGAGTGGGTTAATGGGATTGAAGGTTACAGATAGTTTAAGCATAAAAAGATACTAGATTTAACAAGGGAGGGTGTCTTACCCTGGCCAGTGTGGCTCAGTTGGATGGAGCATCGTCCCATACACCAAAAGGTGGCAGATCTGACTGCCAGTCAGGACCCATACCCAGGTGGTGGGTTCGATTCCCAGTCGGAGTGCATTCAGGAGGAAAACAGATTAATGTTTCTCTCTCTCCCTCTCTCTCTCTGTTCCTCTCTCTAAAATCAATTAAAAAATATTAATCATTAGCATGTAATATATTAAAAACAAAACAAACGAGGGAGAGTGTCTCAGGTCACTTTACCCAGAATATCATAAGAAAATAGTAGAAAGTAAAGAGAGATGATAGGGTAAAAAAACGACTGGGAAGCAAGGAAATGGAGACTGGAAGTATTGTATAAGCCTGGTGTACGTCTGGATGTGAAGGGAAGGAGTATGAGGGTAGCAGGATAGCTTTTACCATGTTTATAAAAAAAAAAAAAAAAAAAAAAAAAAGGCATGATATCCAGTGTATAAGTAAAGTTCAGAAAGGCATATGGTCGGTCACCTTTTCCTCAGAAACTAAGAATGGAATGTTATAAGAACACGCGAAAGTATAAACACTTTTAGAGATAAAAATGATTTTTAAATTAAAAAATAAATTCTATGATCAGTAAGTAGCACATGAAAAATGAAAAATATATCTCAACACAGATATAGCAGTACCTTACTTTGGCTTAGGCTTACACAGAAAAACTGCAAGTCAATTACTTAATTTTTTAAAATCCATTTAGATTTTCTAAGTGTTGAAGCTGATCAATGCTCATTAATACAAAATTATAGGATTCTGTATTTTCTAAAAAGTGCACTACCTATCAACCACTATCTGGAAATATCTTGGGTTCATATTTTGGACAGATAAATTATGGCTTCAGGTTTTTTTCTTTTTCCTGGTAAGTCCTACTGATGTATACTATGTGCTTATGATTTTTAAAAGTATATAACAAAAATGTTTCATTTTGAAATCATAATTTCAAGAAACATTAATGGTACTTAGCTTTAATCTTTTTAAATCATTAATCTTTTGCTTTTACTTAATATTCTGACCCCAAGTCTTATCTTGGTCTCCTTCCCATTTCCCAGTACCTTTCAACTCAGAATTTTTATTTATATGATATTCACACATTCTCTATTTTGACCAAATTGACTAGTTTTAATTGTTCCAGTAAATTTATGGTTTGGTTTAATGCTACTGTTAATGAAATGACATACTTCTAGCTAGGAATATGCTCAACATTTATGGTAGGTTCTAGTTATAAAATAAACTAGGTCTTTAATAAGTTAGTTACTTAGCATCACAATTAAGATTTTGCCCAAATTCTACCATTATTCCACCATTTGGATTACTATGACTACTCCTTGGCTTAAATGTACATGATTCTGATATAAACCCAATGTCACATTAAATAGAAATCATGAACATCTAATAATTAAAGCTACTCTTTATTTTTAAAAAAAACCCACAAAGTTGTATCAGTAGTACTTTGAGTGGTCAATAAATATTTACTGATGGCTTACATGAGACAGACACTGTTCTACAAACTTTATTCAACAAAACAAGTATTTCTATCATCAAGGAGCTTGTATTCCAGTTTAAGAAAACAAACAGTAAACAAATAAATGCTTAGATAAGTATAATGGACAAATACAAAGGAAGGGAAATGTAGAGTGCTCATAACTATTTAGAATGTCAAGCAAAGCCTTGATTAGGTAACAGGTGAGTCAGACTAAAGAAAGTAGAGTTTAGTTTGGCATATGCGTGAGAGAAAACTATCCCAGGCAGACAGAACACCAAGTACAAAGACTCGAAGGCAGGAGTGTACTTGGTGCTTCTAAGAGGAGGGCTGAGGCCAGAGTACCTGGAGCGAAAGGGTGAGGGGACAACAGTAGATGAGGTAGGAGAGCCTGCTACTCTCAAGCACTTCGGTGTCTCCTCTGAGATGGGCAGCCACTGGATAATTTTGGGCAGTTAAATGATATGATTTGACTTGGCTTAAAAATAATCATTCTGGCTCTGTTAGGTAGAACAGACCGTAGGGGCAAAAGGACATAAAGAGGGTTTTGGAGGATATAGCTTTAATCCAGGCAAGAGATGGCGGCTTGGAACAGGATGTTAATAGGTCAGAAGAGGTGGTCAGCTTTGGATATATTTTGAAGGTAGGACGTAACAGATTTGTTGATAGATGTGGATATGGGAGACAAAAAAAAAAAAAAGAATAAAGGATGAATTCATGGGTCTGGACCTGAGTAACCAGAAGCATGGCATTGCCATTTACTGAGTTGGGGGAAGACGGAAAGAACAGCAAGTTTGGGAGAAAAGATCAAGGATGTGTTGATTTTGATCTTTAATTAGATTTCTAGGTACAGGTATCAAATAAGCAGTTTTGTACACATGGGTGAACTCCAAATCTGGAGTTCAGGGGACAGGTCTAAGCTAGGGGTAAAATTTCAGAGTTGACAGCATGAAAACGGATGAAATCGGTGAGTAAGGACACATAAGAAAGAGAGGAGGTTGAAGAAATTTCTTCCCCTTAACAACATGGGTGTAAACCTAAAATCATTAGCAATTTTAAAGGTATGGATTTAAATAGTCCAAAAAGTAGAGAACCTCCCATACCTTGAAAGTGCCCCTCTGTTCAGCTTAGCATTAAAAAAAAAATTATTTACATACAAATCTAAGAAACTCCAAAAAGCCTCAGAAAAACCCCTTAGGGGTCACCTTGGCCCATGCGCCTCAAAAATAATAAGGAATTTATTTTTTCAATGACATAGCCATTACAGTTTTTACCTTAAATTTGCTTAAAAGCAAATATCAGTTAATTCATTTAACTAAGAATACATTAATATATTACAAAAAATATATAAAAAAGTATATTTGGAAAATCTAGAGCTTTGTCCTCATGTTCTCTTTGTTCTGGGGAGACGTGGTGGAACTCTAAAGCCCAAATTACCGTCATACACAGTATCAGGTCACATGTTTCAAAAGAAGACACACTAAAGTCCTTTTACATTTCTATTATGAAACATTCCTTTTCTGGCAGTTTCCAACTTTGTATTCTACATATCCAAAGTTTTTTTTTAATATGGAAAAACTGATTTTATTTAATATTTAACATGTCACGGATTCACTATATATTTCTAATGGTCAAATAATGATTGAACCTGGGCTAAAATATGTTACTAGTTTAAACAAACCTTCAGTGCACATAGGATTCCACTAGTTCACTTTGTGTGGATTTGTCTACTCTTGAGGCAAAAGTCTTCTGGACATTTTTTTTGTTTTGTTAATCCTCACTAAGAATATTTTTTCCATTGTTTTTCTTTTCCCTTTATTGATTTTTAGAGAGAGGGAGAGAGAGAGAGAGAGAGAAAAACATCGATGAGAGAGAATATCGATTGGTTGCCTCCTGCATGCCCCCCAATGGGGATCAGGCCCACAACCTGGGCATGTGCCCTGACTAGGTACTGAACTGACGACCTCTTGATGCATGGGGCAACGCTCAACCACTGAGCCACACCGGCTGGGCCTTTCCATTGACTTTTAGAGAAGTGGAGGGGGAAGGGGGGAGAGAGAGAGAGAGAAACATTGATGTGAGGGAGACACATGGATTAGTTGTCTCCCACACACGCTCCAAATGGGCCAGGGATCAAACTTGCAACCCAGGTACGTGCCCCTGACTGGGTATTGAACTCATGACCCTTTGGTGCTCAGGCTGATGCTCTAAACACTGAACAACACTGGCCAGGACAAGTTTTCTGGACTTTTCCAAGCTCTTCCTGAAGTTGGGAAATGAGTTCATCCCTCTCTTTCAATTCTCTGAGGAGCTCCAGAGCCAAAATGGCCGGTTAAAGAAGTCCCCAACATATGGTCAGGGAAACAGAAAAGGCTGCATCTATGTAGGAAATATCAAAACGGTTGCAAACATTTAAAAGGATTTAAAGCTTGAACCATTATTTAAATCTTACTAGTTAACTTGAAAAAATTCAAATGCATATGAGTCGCTCAATTGCTCATTCTGCATAGTGCCAATACCTGAATACTGACTTTGAACAAAACCATGACTGTTTGGATTAGTACCATTTGAAGGCCCTGACTCATTTATCATGCTGTTATCTGCACACCTGAAGTCAGATCCCTCAAATGCATCTGATTGTGAACAAAAAGCAGTAGTGCTGGAACTGTTGCCTGCTGACATGCTGGGAGAGGACCTCTGATGGAGCTGTCTCAAGTCTCCTGGGTCTAACAATGAGTTACATGAGGGGCTTTCAATATTCATTCTCACAAGTCTTGAATTATCACACTCCCTCATGCTGTCATTACTGGGCGTTATCATAGTCACAGAACAATTCTGCAGCATGTTGGCATCAGAAATGCCATATAAATCAGCTTGTGACATGGATGATGTTTCCATTCTGCCTATGTCATTAGTACTGTTATACATGCAAGCAGGAGAATCATTCACTTCACTCCCAGCAGACATGTCCAGGAATGATGAGATACCCTGTGAATTAGAGGGAAGTGTCCCTGTGGAAAAATTACTCAGATTTGTACTGAGTGAGGACCAGCTTGAAGAAGGCGAAGGCACCATTGAGGGCACGGCTGAAACATGATGTGACAATGCTCTCGAGATGGACACAGGTGGGGAATAGTAGGGTTCTGCTTGACTCGAAACTCCTGAAGGCCCGGTCATTTCTGTCAAAACTGCACCATGAGAAAACAAGTTTGATTCTGTTGGGGATGGGAGTGGGAGAGGGAAATACATTTTTACAAAACTGAAATGAACAAAATTATAAGAAGTACTATTTCTAAAAATTACACAAACACACTAATAAAGAAAAATTTCAAGGACACTGATGTAGCATTTCATATTAAAATTTTAAATAGCACTAAAATTATTACATGAACCCAAAACTGAATTCTGTGACACTTACTGTTTTACAAATACCTATAAAAAAATTTGCTGTTATTTTGGCATAGATAATTTCACTGCAGTCAAATCTGAAAATCTAGCTTCTGAGGCCCTATAAAATTATTTTTGAAAACTGAAAGATGAATATTAGAATTTCAGTTAATGGGACTCTAAATAGCCAAAAATTATTTCATATTCTCCACTTTTAAGAAAAAAAAAATGGAGTGATGTTCAAAACACACATTAGGGATGACTGAAAATCCACATAACTTTCTAAGATGTATTAAGATATAACACTAAGGTACTACAAAATCCCAGTCAGAAAAAAATAAAGGATTCTGTGTTTATTTACACATTAAGTAACTGTTACAGATACTAGCTATGGAAAAAGCACTGGTTTAAGAATGTAAAGGTAAAAAGACTTCTAATTAACTCTGGTTGAATGGTCTAAACCAGAATTTGGCAACTTTTCTTCTATAAAGGGCCAGAGAGTAAATATTTTAGGCCTTGCAGCCTCTATTAGAACTACCTGACTGCCACAGACAGCAGCCACAGATAGCATGTGATCAAATGAGCATGGCTACGTTCCAGCAAAACTCTATTTATAAAGACAGGCTACTGGCCAGATCTAAACCATTTCTTGCATGACATATTGTAAACCAGTAAAATTATCACCATGTGAACAAAATGTAATTTCTCAAACAATAACTCCCAAACCACAGTTTCCAGTAGGATCTTTGGCCAAGATCAATTCATTCAATATTCAAAGCATGAAAAAATTTGTAGGAGTGGAAAATATCAAAGAACAAAATTCTTCTATATTGTGAAAAGCAGTGGTCTTTCTGATCACAAAGAATATTCTATAGGAAATAAAATACCTTTTTTAATGAATCTTCCTTCTCCAGTTGGTCCTAGGGGAACAGGTATCGGTCTTTCAGGAAAATTAACTGCTGTGATAAAGTTTTTCCATTATTAAATGTAACTTGAATAATAACACTTATCAGTTAAAATGGGCAAAACTGAATAAAGCAAAAAAAAAAAAACCCCACAAAATCTATTTAAATATGAATCAATCGAAAACATTCTTACCACAATTCTCCAATAGTTTCTGGAAAAGTAGAGTTGTTTTTTGTTTCTTTGCTTTATTGCCATAAGTATCTGGTTAGAAAGAAACCAGGAAAGCATGTGAATAAATCATCATGCTTCTCCTTTAATAAATAAATAAATAGTGTTTTATTCCCATAGAGAAAATGCTTTAAATAAATGTATGTAATATGGATTTAGTAAGTGTTGCACAGTGTGTCCTAAACCAGTGGTAAAGGCCAATTTTTCTCTTAGTAAAAAATAGTTTAATGTTCATCTTTTCTTCTAACACCTGTAAGTCAACAATGTCAACTAATGCAATAAGGGCAGAAAAGGACCAAAAAGGAGGCTACTTTCTGATTGGCACAATCAATTTGCAATCTACAGTAAGGACCAAAAAAGCCCCTGAACTATACAATAAATTTTGATGAACAGTTTATATACTTTGAAACTATTCCAGATTCTTTTCCTAAGAAAGAGCTGCAAAGGGCATGCAGATTAATCAGTTGAAAAATAAACTGAAAACTACCAAGAAAAGAAATACAAATTATGAAAAAAAAACAAAACTATATCTTAACGTATCTTACAAAAAATGTTATTAGTAGGACTAATTTTATGAAATATATAAAACATTACCACCAAGAAATCACACCTTTTTCATCTGGCAGATATCTAAAATCCATAGATTCACTAACTTCCTGGTCAGAAGGTCTCCGCAACTGCATTTTCACTGTTACTGGGTCCGTTATAGCTTTGCAATATGGTGGAGTCTTGAAAACAATGGCTACTTGACGGTGTACATCAGCTTGTGAAAAGATGCCTTTTGCTTCCCAATCATTCAATACAAACCGAACTTCTATGTCATCTAGTGAATATGAAAACAAAGAACTAACAATGAGAAAACAAAGTAAAATGTATCTATTAATTTAAAATATATTCTGAATTCCATGAAGGACAAACATACAAAAAACAAATAAATACCTTTCTGAACTTTGTCACAGAGTAGAAATATTTCATCTCCTCCTCTGACACTTCCACAGTTCTTGTTTACACGACAAATCCTTAATTCTGCAGTATTAGGAGCACCTAAATATAAAGGATTTTTTCAGTGGGTTGTTACCTTAATATTTTATTCCTTTTTGATGGAGAGAATTTTAGGAAAACAATTTATAGAATAGATAAACAACTTTATAAATAAATTAAGAACACTAAGTATATTAATCATCCACAACTGTCTCTTTTGTTTCTAACTTACATGGTCTAACCTGGTTTAGAGTGAATTCATTTCTAGGCAATGACAGTCCTCTAAAACTTCCTGTTTCTAAACTCTGATTCTTTTGATCCATCCTACACACTGTCACCAAATTAATCTTCTTAAATCATAACCATAAAACCCTAATGCAATATAATTTTAATTCTTCCTATTACCTGGGCAATATTCTAGTACTCTCCCTGGCAGCCAAAGCTCTCCATGATAAGAATACTCTGATCTGCCATTACAGCCCTATGTTCCACTATCCTTCTACATGTAAAACAGGCACAGCCATATACCACTGGTGATCATTTTTTATAAGAGCGCACACACAATATGAGAGCAACTTCATAATCTTTTTTAAAAATATTTTTTCTTTTTGTTTTTAGAGAGGAAGGGGGAGAGAGGGAGGGAGGGAGGGAGAGAGAGAGAGAGAGAGAGAGAGAGAGAGAGAGAGATGAAAGAGAACATGGACTGGCCACCTCCTGCATGCCCCCAACTGAGGATTTGGCTCACAACCTGGGCATGTGCCCTGACCAGGAATTGAACTGGTGACCTCTTAGTGCATGGGTCGATGCTCAACCAGTGAGCCACACCGGCTGGGCCATAATCTCTTGAAACTATAAATATCTGTATCCTTTGATCTAGCATTTACCAACATTCTACTTCAGCAAATTTATAATGAAGACCTATTTACCCAAGATATGCACATACAGGAGTACAAAGTGCTGGAGCAAAATGAAAAAATTGAGAAAAAAACAAAACCAAATGTCTTGTAATAAGGTAATAATTTAATAAAATAATGAAAGAGCCATATAAAGCAATATGCAGCTACTGAAAAGAATACTGTGCCTAACGCCCGGTTGGTGTGGCTCAGTGGATTAAGAGTCGTCCCACGGACTGACAGGTCTTGGCTTAATTCCCAGTCAGGGCATGTGCCCAGGTTTCGGGCTCGATCCCCAGTGGGGGATGTGCAGGAAGCAGCACATCAGTGTTTCTCTCTCACATCCATGTTTCTGTCTCTCTCTCTCTCAAAATACCAATGAAAACATATTAAAAAATAAAAAGAATAAAGTACCCGAAAGGAAAAGAGATTCACGATACATTGCTGAGAGAAAAAAAAATTTAAAAAAAGATCAGTGATGATTTTTAAAAAAGAGTTGCCAAAGATATATTGTGTGAATGATGGGTGATGTATCTGTATATATATGAAGAAGAAACTGGTGAATTATGTACCTGAGGACAGTGATCATCTTTGGAGAATGAAATTAGAGGAGATTTACCATAGGAGAATAACTTGTTATTTATTTCAGGAATGTTTAAATTTTTCCTATAATAAGTGTACTGTTTTTCTAAAATACAAAATTTACCAAAATACTTTCAAAAATTAAACTATAAAAAAACAAGCTAAGGCTACAAACACAAGAATATAAAGTACTTACGGTTGTCATAAATTGGATTAGAGACAACAGGAGGTAGAGTAGTCGTCAAATTACCATGTTCATCATAGAGGAAAACTTGAAAACATAATCTCACCACATTGAGGTCGCAATCTTCAGTATCAAGCAGCTGTGGTTCAGGTACTGAATGGAACATTAAAAAAAAGGAAATATTCACATAGAACTAAAATCCTGCTAGGTCCTCCTCCCTGTCCAGTAAATCCAATAATCTTGAATAGCATCCAAATCTGCACTAACTAAAATAGAATGGTACGCAATCTCAAGAATACCTTTTATCATTAGTCACTATCTAACAGTATTCATGAAGTTATGACTATGGTGAGGAAGTAGCTATCCCAGTCATTGGGAATTTATAGCAGAATCCCAAATGGACATTAATATAAAAAAATAATAGGCATTCATTAATTCAACAAGCATGTATTTAGTCCAGTCACTGTGTTAAGAACTCTATAAATTATCTTTTTTTTTTATCCTCACCCTAGGACATTTTTCCATTTTTTTTTGTTCAGATAGAGCGGGAGAGAGAGGAAGAGAGAGAGAGAGAAACATCGATGTGAAGGGACACATCGAGTGGCTGCCATCCGCACGACCAACCAGGGCCGGGGACAAACTGCAACCAAGGTACATGCCCCCAGCGGGAACCGAACCCGGGTCTCTCTGTACCGCAGGCCGACGCGCCAACCGCTGAGCAAAACCGGCCAGGGCTATAAATTATCTTTTAAACCTGGACAAGAATGACTATCATCCCCATTTACAGATAAGGAACTGATGTTAAAGAAATGAAATTACTTGTTCCAAGTCCCATAGCTAAGAAGTGAAAGAATAGGAATTCAAACTCAGTAACTGAATCCAGAGCCTAGGCTCTTAAAAACTGAACTCTATTAGAATATTTTACATATGTGTTGCATTAAATGACAATAAGAAAATTTAGATCAATATTTTAGGAATTAAATACTAGCTTAGTTTTGCACAAGAAATTTTACATGCAAATTTGGTTTGTTTTAAAAAACGGCAAACAAACCTTAAAGCAGAAACATGTTATAGTTTAAAAAAATACATAAAAACACATTCTTGCCCTGGCCAGTTTGGCTCAGTGGTTAGAGCATTGGCCCTGGACCGGAGAATCCCGGTTTCGGTTCCTGCTAAGGACATGTATCTCGGCTGTAGTTTGTCCCTGGTCCGGATGGGGTAGTGTGGGTGGCAACCACTCGATGTGTCTTTTTCACATTGATGATTCTCTCTCTCTCTTGCACCCTCTCTCCCTCCTGCTCCATCTGAAGATACATGCAAAAATGTCCTCGGGTGAGGAATAAAAACAACATAAAAAAAACCCACATTCTATCTGAAAGACAATGAGTTTGTTAAATTGGTATTGGAAAAGAAATCCAGTTCCAAATAAACATATTATTGCCTTTTCAAAGTATACCATAAACTATAGCAATAAATCATAAGTCATATTTTTAGAAAGCATGAAATATACATATTAAATTTTATGAAAATGTTTCTTTTTAAAAGGTATTAAAATTTAAAACATTAAATTTAAAAATGTTAAAATCTAAATTCTTTAGTCTTACAGACAATAAAAACTACAATATAATTTTTACTACTTTTATTTAAACTACATTCATAGTCTCAGTAGTTATTACAAGACTTAAAATTATCCAATTATCACCATTCTTAAGCCTTGCATGTGAAGGAGTCTATCCGCACAACTAAAAGGTCAAAGTGTGGAATATAAAAGGAACACCTATATCACAGCAGCGTACTGTACTGGCACAATTGTGTAGGCAATGAGAGGTCTGCCTCTTCAAAATAAATTTTTTATAGCTTTATAAATTTAGAATTCAAGACATTCATGTTTCTCAATTTCAAAGATGAGTAATCAATACACAAAAATATAAATTATTAGCTAAGTGACCCTGACAAGTTTAAAAACAAACCTACGTGAATGATCTAAACAAGCCGTGACAGCCACACATATAAAAAAGGACCGACTATGGATACAGACCCCAACACGAATGTATCTCAACACCATTTGGAGCAAAAGAAACCAGATATAAAATATATATTATGCTTCCATTCATTCATTCATTCATTCATTTTTTTTTTTTTTTTTTTTTTATCCTCACCCGAGGACATTTTTCCATTTTTTGTTCAGGTAGAGTGGGAGGGAGGGAGAGAGAGGAACAGAGAGAGAGAGAGAGAAACATCGATGTGAAAGGAACACATCGAGTGGCTGCCACCCGCACAACCGACCAGGGCCGGGGACAAACTGCAACCGAAGTACGTGCCCTTAGCGGGAACCGAACCCCGGTCTCTCAGGACCGCAGGCCGACGCTCTAACCGCTGAACCAAACCGGCCAGGGCCATTCATTCATTTTTTAATCCTCACCTGAGGATACTTTTGCATTTATCTTCAGAGAGAGTGGGAAGGAGAGAGGGAGGAAGAGAGAGAGAGAAACATCGATGTGAAAGAGACACATTGAGTGGCTGCTACCCACACGACCCCAACCAGGGCTGAGGACAAACTGCAACCGAGGTACATGCCCTTAGTGGACACGGAACCCGGGATTCTCCAGTCCTCAGGCCGACACTCTAACTGCTGAGTCAAACCGGTCAGGGCATTATGCTTCTATTTATATGAAATTCTAGAAAACATTAATTGATGGTGACAAAATGCAAAGTAATAGTTGGCTGGAAATTAATAGCTGACTGGGGCCAGAGCAGGGAGAGAGAACTGATGGGAAGGAGACCAAGGAAATTCTGGGGTGGTGGTAGTGGAAGTGGCAATGATCCTTATCTTGACTGTGGTGGTGTTCCATGGGAGTATATATTTGGGTACATCTAACTGTATATAAATTAGATCTCAATAAACATTTACTTAAAATCCCTCAAAATGGCACATAAAAGAAAAATGAACTGGTTTGGTTAACAAACCAAAGTTCAAAAATACTTGGTCATAAAATTGTTCCATCAAAGAGAAAAAATTCTACCTGGTTCTCCAAAAATCAATTTTTATGGGATTTTATTTCAAATTTTCTCAATGTGTAGGAATATAGTTAGCACTGCATCAGAATTATCTTCACCTCTCCACAGCATGGTTAAAAATCACTGACCACCAGGAATCATGACTAATATCTGTTTTTACCCAATACAAGATTTAGTTTAAACATAACAACTCAGCTGGCCAGGTTGTCTCAGTGGATTGAGGGTCATCCCATGGACTGAGAGGTCCTGGTTAGATTCCCAGACAGGGCACATGCCCGGGTTGCGGGCTTGATCCCCAGTTGAGGGAGTGCAGGAGGCAGCTGATCGATGTTTCTCTCTCACAGTGACATTTCTGTTTTTCTCTCTCTCCCTTCATCTCTCTCCAAAATAAACCAATAAAAACACATTATTTAAAAAAAAAAAAAAGGGATAACCCAGTACAAAGCTTTTTATTTTCTACAATACCTAACTTCAACCTTTGAAATGAAAGGAATGTATCTCCCTCTCTAAGTTGGTGCAGCACTTGACCTATAAACCTCTCTTACACACTTGGGTTTTTTTTTGTTTTTTGTTTTATATCTTGCATGATTCTCCTCTATACTTTTCTACTCAGTTAGGCTAAGTTCCCTTAAGGCAAAATGGGTCCAATGCATCTCTGCATCTTCATTAAACACGAACACAGTGGCTTACACATAATAAACAGTAAACATTTTCTTAGTGAGTGACTGAAAAATTAAAGACAGGCCTGTGAAATGACCAAACATTTAGACATTTTTATAAGTTGCTGAAGAAAACTATAAAGTAAAAATCAACAAAGGGAGGTTCAACTTTTGGTAATGGCAGGTGACATGTAACTGGGACCAAGTCTATTGTGAGAACTAAAAAAGGTGGACAAAATATGAAATAAAAATCCTCTAAAGGCATTGCCCAGCCAGTATAGCTCAGTGTTTGAGCATCGACCCATGCACCAAGAGGTTGCCGGTTCAATTCCCAGTCAGGGTACATGGCCAGGTTGTGGGCCAGATCCCTGGTGGGGGCATGCAGGAGGCAGCCAATCGATGTTCTCTCTCATAGATGTTTCTATGTCTCTCTAAAATCAATAAAGAAAAAAAAATTCGCTAAAGGCATAAAAAAGCGAACAAGATCATGAAGAATCATGGGGCTAAGATCAGGAAGAACTGTAAGGAAAACATTCGTTTCTCTCTACTCACTACTCACCAACACTTCTGAAGTCTGTGTTTTTTCACACACAGCAATTTTCCAACTCTCACCAACTGGGTGTCCTACAATTTAACTCAATTTTGATACTAACCACCTGAGGTTAGCACAGATCCCACAGGCAAGGGCTCAATCCCACAGGACTGCTCCTCCCCACACACATAAGACACCAATCACAAGTCCAGTTTGTTACCTATCCTTCTGACTGGCTACAAACTGGGAGTTCCACAACTCATTCCTTGGGTTTGATAATTTGCTAGAATTGCTCACAGAACTCAGGAAACAAATTACACACTAGATTATCGGTTTATTATAATAGAAAACAACTCAGGAACAGCCAGGCAGAAAAGATGCATAAGGAAAGGTGTGTAGAAGTGACATGTCCTCCCTGGGGAGCCACCTCCCAGCTCCTCTGCATGCTCACTAGCCCAGAAGTTCTCTGAGCCCCTTCAGTCAGGAATTTCATGGAGGTTTCATTTTGAACAAATGACTGATTAAATCACTGGACACTGGTGATTAATTCAACTTCCAGCCCCTCCCCTTCCGGGGGGTAAAGGAATGAGGATGAATGGTCCAACTTTAATAACATGATCGATTGGTTCCTCTGGCAACCAGAGCCCCCCCCCCCCCGGGGGTGTGTGGTTTCCATATCACCTGATTAACATAAGCTCAGAAGTCGTTGAAAGGGGCTTGTTATGAAAACAAGACACTCTTTTTTACCTTTTTTACTCTTATTTAGCAAAGTATAAGGATTTCAGGAGCTCTGTGCCAGGAATGGGGATAAATACCATAAAATCACAGTATTCTGAACTTACCATAAAGGTAAGTCCATAAAGGTAAGTTCAGAATGATCAAAATAGATCCAAAGACATGGAAGTAGGGAACAGACTGACAAACCTCAGAGGGAAGGGGGTTGG